AGCAAGGGAACAAGGCTGGATGGAGAATGAGTGTGATGAAATGACAGAATCAGACTTCAGAAGGTGGGTAATAAGAAACTACACTGAGCTAAAAGAACATGTTCTAACCCAATGCAAATAAACTAAGAACCTTGAAAAAGATTTGACGAAATGCTAACGAGAATGGACAACATAGAGAGGAATATAAGTGAATTGATGGAGCTGAAAAACACAACACGAGAACGTCGTGAAGCATGCACAAGCTCCAACAGCTGAATTCACCAAGCAGAAGAAAGGATATCAGAGGTCGAAGATCAACTCAATGAAATAAAACAGGAAGGCAAGAATAGAGAAAAAAGGGTAAAAAGGAATGAACAAAGTCTCCAAGAAATGTGGGACTATGTGAAAAGACCTAATCTACGTTTGATAAGTGTACCTGAATGTGACGAAGAGAATGAATCCAAGCCGGAAAATACTCTTCAGGATATTATCCAGAAAAACTTCCCCAACCTAGCAAGGCAGGCCAATATTCAAGTCCAGGAAATACAGACAACACCACAAAGATATTCCTCAAAAAGAGCAACCCCAAGGCACATAATCGTCAGATTCACCAGGGTTGAAATGAAGGAGAAAATACTAAGGGCAGCCAGAGAGAAAGGTCAGGTTACCCACAAAGGGAAGCCCATCAGACTCACAGCAGATCTCTCAGCAGAAACCCTACAAGCCAGAAGAGACTAGGGGCCAATATTCAACATCCTTAAAGAAAAGAACTTTCAACCCAGAGTCTTCTATCCAGCCAAACTAAGTTTCATAAGTGAAGGAAAAATAAAATCCTTTGTGAACAAGCAAGTACTCAGAGAATTCATCACCACCAGACCTGCTTTACAAGAGCTTCTGAAAGAGGCTCTACACATATAAAGGAACAACCAGTACCAGCCACTCCAAAAACATACCAAATGGTAAAGAGCATCAACACAATCAAGAATCTGCATCAATTAACAAACAAAACAGCCAGCTAGCATCCAAATGGCAGTATCAAATTCAGATATAACAATATTATCCCTAAATGTAAATGGACTGAATGCCCCAATCAAAAGACACAGACTGGCAAATTGGATAAAAAGCCAAAACCCGTCAATGTGTGCTGTATCCAGGAAACCCATCTCACATGCAAGGATACACAAAGGCTCAAAATAAAGGGATGGAGGAAGATTTACCAAGCAAATGGAGAGCAAACAAAAGCAGGAGTTGCAATTCTCGTCTCTGATAAATTAGACTTTAAAGCAACAAAGATCAAAAGAGACAAAGAAGGACATTACATAATGGTAAAAGGATCAATGCAACAAGAAGAGCTAACGATTCTAAATATATACGCACCCAATACAGGAGCACCCAGATTCATAAGGCAAGTTCTTAATGACTTAGAACTTTGTAAAGAGACTTAGATTCCCACAAAATTATATTGGGAGACTTTAACACCCCATTGTCAATATTAGACAGATCAATGAGACTGAAAATTAACAAGGATATCCAGGACTTGAATTCAGACCTGGACCAAGCAAACCTAATAGACATTTACAGAACTCTCCACCCCAAATCCACAGAATATACATTCTTCTCAGCACAACACCACACCTACTCTAAAATTGACCACATAATTGGAAATAAATCACAACTCAGCAAATGCAAAAGAACGGAAATCATAACAGTCTCTCAGACCACAGTGCAATAAAGTTAGAACTCAGAATGCAGAAACTAACTCAGAACCGCATAGCTTCATGGAAACTGAACAACTGGCTCTTGAATGTTGACTGGATAAACAATGAAATGAAGGCAGAAATAAAGATGTTCTTTGAAACCAACGAGAACGAAGACACAACATAACAGAATCTCTGGGATACAATTAAAGCAGTCTCTAGAGGAAAATATACAGCAATAAGTGCACACATGAGAAGCAAGGAGAGATCAAAAATTGAAACCCTAGCATTAAAATTGAAAGAGCTAGAGAAGCGAGATAATAAAAACTCAAAACCAGCAGAAGACAAAAAGTAACTAAGATCACAGCAGAACTGAAGGAGACAGAGACACAAAAAACCCTTCAAAAAATCAATAAATCCAGGAGCTGGTTTTTTGAAAAGATCAACAAAATAGACAGACCACTAGCCAGATTAATAAAAAAGAAAAGAGAGAATAACCAAATTGATGCAATAAAAAACGATAAAGGGGTTATCACCACAGATTCCACAGAAATTCAAACCATCATCAGAGATTATTACAAACAACTCTATGCACAAAAACTAGTAAACCTGGAAGAAATGGATAAATTCCTGGACACTTGCCTCCTCCCAAGCCTAAACCAGGAAGAAGCTGAAACCCTAATAGACCAATAACAAGGTCTGAAGTTGAGGCAGCAATTAAGAGCCTACCACCCAAAAAAAGCCCAGGTCCAGATGGGTTCACAGCCAAATTCTACCAGACATACAAAGAGGAGCTGGTACCATTCCTTCTGAAACTATTCCAAACAATACCAAAAGAGGGAATTCTTCCCAAATCATTTTATGAGACCAACATCATCCTGATATCAAAACCTGGCAGAGACTCAACAAGAAAAGAAAACTTCAGGCCAATATCCATGATGAACATAGATGCAAAAATCTTCAATAAAATACTGGCAAGCCGATTGCAACAGCACATCAAAAAGCTTATCCACCATGATCAAGTAGGCTTCATCCCGGGGATGCAAGGCTGATTCAACATACACAAGTCTATAAACGTTAATTCACCACATAAACGGAACAAAAGACAAAAACTACATGATTATCTCAATTGATGCAGAGAAGGCCTTTGACAAAATTCAACAGCCCTTTATGCTAAAAACCCTCAATAAGCTAGGTATTCACGGAGCGTATCTCAAAATAATAAAAGCTATTTACGACAAACCAACAGCCAATATCATACTGAATGGGCAAAAACTGGAAGCATTCCCTTTGAAATCTGGCACTAGACAAGGATGCCCTCTCTCACCACTCCTATTCAATATAGTACTGGAAGTTCTAGCCAGAGCAATCAGGCAAGAAAAAGAAATAAAGGTTATTCAAATAGGAAAGGAGGAAGTCAAATTGTCTCTATTTGCAGACAACATGATTGTATATCTAGAAGACCCCACTGTCTCAGCCCAAAATCTCCTGAAACTGATAAGCAACTTCAGCAAAGTCTCAGGATACAAAATCAATGTGCAAAAATCACAAGCATTCCTATACACCAATAACAGACTTAAAGAGAGCCACATCAAGAATGAACTGTCATTCACAACTGCTACAAAGAGAATACCTAGGAATACAACTAACAAGGAAGGTAAAGGACCTTTTCAAGGAGAACTACAAGCCACTGCTCAACAAAATAAGAGAGGACACAAACAGATGGAGAAACATTACATGTTCATGGTTAGGAAGAATCAATATCGTTAAAATGGCCATACTGCCCAAAGTAATTTACAGATTCAATGCTATTCCCATCAAGCTACCAATGACCTTCTTCACAGAACTGGAAAAAACCACCTTAAACTTCATATGGAACCAAAAGAGAGCCCGCATAGCCAAGTCAATTCTCAGCAAAAGGAACAAAGCAGGAGGCATCACACTACGGGACTTCAAACTATACTACAAGGCTACAGTAATCAAAACAGCATGGTACTGGTACCAAAACAGAGATATAGACCAATGGAACAGAACAGAGGCCTCGGAGGCAACACAACATATCTACAACCATCTGATCTTTGACAAACCTGAGAAAAACAAGCAATGGGGAAAGGATTCCCTGTTTAATAAATGGTGTTGGGAAAACTGGCTAGCCATGTGCAGAAAGCAGAAACTGGACCCCTTCCTGACACCTTACACTAAAATTAACTCCAGATGGATTAAAGACTTAAACATAAGACCTAACGCCACAAAAACTCTAGAAGAAAATCTAGGCAAAACCATTCGGAGGCGTAGGCAAGGACTTCATGACCAAAACACCAAAAGCATTGGCAACAAAAGCCAAAATAGACAAATGGGACCTAATCAAACTCCACAGCTTCTGCACAGCAAAAGAAACAGTCATTAGAGTGAATTGGCAGCCAACAGAATGGGAAAAAATTTTTGCAATTTGCCCATCTGACAAAGGGCTGATATCCAGAATTTACAAAGAACTAAAACAGATCTACAGGAAAAAAACAAACAAGCCCATTCAAAAGAGGGCGAAGGATATGAACAGATACTTTACAAAAGAAGACATACATGAGGCCAACAAACATATGAAAAAAACGCTCATCATCACCGGTCATTAGAGAAATGCAAATCAAAACTACAATGAGATACTGTCTCACGCCAGTTAGAATGGCGATCATTTAAAAATATAGGGACAACAGATGCTAGAGAGGATGTGGAGAAATAGGAACACTTTTACACTGTTAGTAGGAGTGTAAATTAGTTCAACCATTGTGGAAGACAGTGTGGCGATTCTTCAAGGACCTAGAAATACAAATTTCATTTGACCTAGCAATCCCGTTACTGGGTATATATCCAAAGGATTATAAATCGTTCTACTATAAGGACACGTGCACACGAATGTTCATTGCAGCACTGTTTACAATAGCAAAGACCTGGAACCAACCCAAATGCCCATCGATGATAGACTGGACAGGGAAAATGTGGCACATATACACCATGGAATATTATGCAGCCATCAAAAACAATGAGTTTGTGTCCTTTGTAGGGACATGGATGAACCTGGAAACCATCATTCTCAGCAAACTGACAGAAGAGCAGAAGATCAAACACCGCATGTCCTCACTCATAGGCGGGTGTTGAACAATGAGAACACATGGACACAGGGAGGGGAGCACTACACACTGGGGTCAGTTGGGGGGAAATAGGGAAGGGATGGTGGGGGGTGGGGAGCTGGGGAGAGAGAGCATCGGGAGAAATGCCAGATATAGGTGATGGGGAGCAAGGCAGCAAATCACACTGCCATGTGTGTACCTATGCAACAATCTCACATGTTCTTCACATGTACCCCAATACCTAAAGTGCAATAAAATAAATAAATAGAAAAAAAAAAAAAACAAAACTGGAGGCATTATACTCCTTGAGTTCAAAACGTGTTATAAAGCTATTGTAATAGCATGGTACTGGCATAAAAACATACAGTGGAACAGGGAGCTCAGAAATAAACCCAACTATTTGTGGTTAATTGATTTTTTACAAAGGTGCCAAGAACACACAATGGGGAAAGGACAGTTTAATAAATGATTTTGGTAAAACTGAATATCCACATGCAGAAAACTGAAATTGGACCCTTATCTCACACCACATACAAAAATCAACTCAAAGCCAGGTTGCAGTGGCTCACACCTGTAATCCTAGCACTTTGGGAGGCCAAGGTGGACGGATTGCTTGAGCCCAGGAGTTTGAAACCAGCCTGGGCAACATGGCAACACCATCTCTAATTCAAACATTCTTATACAAAAATTAGCCAGGTGTGGTGGTGCATACCTGTAATTCCAGATACTTGGGGGGCCGAGGCTTGAATCTTGGAGGTTGAAGATGCAGTCAGCTGTGATTCTGCCACTGTACTCCAGCCTGGACAACAGTGAAACCCTGTCTCAAAAAAAAAAAAACCTCAAGATGGATGAAAGACTTAAACATAAGACCTGAAACTGTAAAACTACTAGAAAAAAAAAAAAAAAGCAGAGGAAAAGCTCCACCACATTGGTCTGGGCAATGATTTCTTGAATAGGACTGCAAAAGGATGAGCAACAAAAGCAAAAATAGACAAGTGGTTTATATCAAACTAAAAAGTTTCTGTACAACAAAGGAAAAAATTTTTTTTTTTTTTTTTTTTGAGACGGAGTCTCAGTCTGTTCCCAGGCTGGAGTGCAGTGGCACAATCTCGACTCACTGTAACCTCTGCCTCCTGGGTTCAAGCAATTCCACTGCCTCAGCCTCCCAAGTAGCTGGGATTACAGGTCCACGCCACCACGCCCAGCTAATTTTTTTTATTTTAGTAGAGACGAGGTTTCACCCTGTTGGCCAGGATGCTCTCGATCTCCTGACCTCGTGATGTGCCTGCCTCAGCCTCCCAAAGTGCTGGGATTACAGGCGTGAGCTACCGCACCCAGCCTGCAAAGGAAACTTTTAACAGAGTGCAGAGATAACACAACTTGGAAAAAGTATTTTCAAACCATACATTTATAAAGGCGCTAGGCCGGGCCTGGTGACTCACGCCTGTAATCCGAGCACTTTGGGAGGCTGAGGCAGGCACATCACTTGAGGTCAGGAGTTCAAGACCAGCCTGGTCAATATGTTGAAACCCCGCCTCTACTAAAAATATAAAAAATTAGCCTGACATAGTGGCACACATCTATAATCCAGCTACATGGGAGGCTAAGGCAGGAGAATCTCTTGAACCTGGGAGGTGGAAGCTGCAGTGGGCTGATATTGCACCACTGCACTCAAGCCTGGGTGACAGAATGAGACTCTGTCTCGAAAAAAAAAAAAATTACCCTGCAACTTAGTTTTTTTTTTTTTTTTTAAGGGAGGGGCCAATATCTAAAATATATAAGGAACTCAATTCAGTAACAAGAAAACAAATAACCCAATTAATAAATGGGTAAAATACTCAACATCTCTAAGCATAGGAAAATGCAAATAAAATCATGAGATATCACCTCGCACCTGTTAGAAGGGCTATATGGAGGTTCCTCAAAAAAATAAAAATAGAAATATCTTATTATCCAGCAATCCCACTTCTGGCTATATATCCAGTAGAGTTGAAATCAGTATGTTGAAGATGTATCTGCACTTCCATGTTCATTTCAGCATTATTCACAATAGCTATATAGATATGGAAGCCAACATATGTCTACCAACAGATGAGTGGATAAATCAAATGTGGTGTGTACATACATAAAAGAACTATTTAGCCTCAAAAGAGAAGGAAATTCTGTCATTTGCAACAATATAGATGAACCTGGAGGGCATTATGTTAAGTAAAATAAGCCAGACACAGAAAGACAAATATTGTATGATCTCATTTACATGTAGAATCTAAAAAAGTTGATCTCATAAAAACAGATTAAAAAATGACCAGAGGTGGGATGGGTGGGTGAAGGGAATGGGGATAGAGGAGATGATGATCAAAGGGTACAAAGTTTCAGTTAGGGCTGGGCGAGGTGGTTCACACCTGTAATCCTAGCACTTTGGGAGGCCGAGGTGGGTGGATCACCTGAGGTCAGGAGTTCAAGACCAGCCTGGCCATCATGGTGAAACCCCATCTTAAAAATAAATAAATAAACAAAAAAACAAAGTTCCAGTTAGACTGGAAGGATATGGTTTAGTGATATGGATTATATTACTCTCATAAAAGTATTACATGTTCATTTTCTAATTTTAAAAGATTCAAATATTTACTAAGAATTTTTTTTTTTTAAGATGGAATCTCACCCTGTTGCCTAGGCTGGAGTGCAGTGGTGTGATCTCAGCTCACTGCAACCTCTGCCTCCTGAGTTCATGCAATTCTCCTGCCTCAGCCTCCCAAATAGCTAAGATTACAGGCTCAGGCCACCACGCCTGGCTAATTTTTGTATTTTTAGTAGAGACGGGTTTCACCCTGTTGGCCAGGCTGGTCTCAAACTCCTGACCTCAAGTGATCCACCCACCTCAGCCTCCCAAAGTGCTGGGATTATAGGTGTGAGCCACTGTGCCAAGCCAGAAATTTTTAAACCATATGAACTGCCATCGCCTAGAAGATAGTACGTAGAATGTTCTTCATTAAATTAACAACAATAATAATATTGAAGCTGAGCACAGTGACTTGGCTATAGTCTCAGCTACTCAGGAGGCTGAGGCAAAAGGATCACTTCAGTCTGGGAGTTTCATTCCAGCCTGGGCAAAATAAAATAGCAAGACCCTGTTTTTAAAAATATTATGTATTGAATATTTATACTACAATCAGTAAACATGGAAGTAAATATAAAGACCTCAGGAATTCAACAGTGGCCTGTGTGTCTCAGGTGAAAACTATCTCTAGGACTGAAATTATTCTTTCAGAGATAAAAATGCATTATGAAAAAAAAATTAAATAAGTAAATAATGCATTACAGGAAAAGATATTTCCTTTCTGAGGAAATACAATACAATGTCAAGTACTCCATGATTCAGAGCAAGTGTCTGTTTTTCATAGTAAACATTGGATCAACACCTGATTGCTGCCATGGTTTGGCTGTGTCTCCATCCAAATCTCATCTTGAATTTTAGTAACTCCCATGTGTCAAAGCAGGGCCAGGTGGAGATAACTGAATCATGGGGGGTGGTTTCCCCCATAGTCAGTGAATAAGCGTCACGAAATCTGATGGTTTTATAAAGGGAGTTCCCCTGCACAAGCTCTCTTGCCTGCGACCATGTAAGGCATCACTTGGCTCCTCATTTGCCTTCAGCAATGATTGTGAGGCCTCCCCAGCCATGTGGAATGGTAGTCAATTGAACTTCTCTCCTTTATAAGTTACCCAGTCTCAGGTATGCCTTTATCAGCAGCATGAGAACAGACAAATCGCCATTTTGGCATGTTTTAGGGGAGGGAATAAGTTTCTCCTTTTCTCTCATGCACAAATTTTCTTTAAATGTCATTCCTATAGAGGCTTCGTCATCAGCATTCCTATTAAAAGACCTTACCTATGACACATTCTGAATTTGGGTGGACTAAGAGAAAACAGAACTGATTTCACGCAGTACCACATAAAATATGCTCTTTCCTGCCTTTGATCCCCTCCAGCCCCAGGATACTATCTCTTCCTGTTCCCTGGTGGGCCTCTCTGGATAAGATTTGGGAAGTGCACCAATCGACCATGTGAGGAAATCAACATCTTATTCTCACGAATAATCTCTGTAGCCCTCTAGAGAGGGGTCAAAATTAATGACAAAATCTTTCAATATATTTTTACAAACACATGAGTAACACATTAAAAAGATCATAGACTTTAGAAATAACAATCTTAAGTTTAAAATTTTTATGGACATTTATTTTATGGACAAGTTACTTAACTCTCAGAGCCTGTTTCTTTAACTGTAAAAATGGAAATAACAACATCTACCTTGTTAGAATTGAATGTGCTCACTTTGAGATTACATTAGCTGTTCTTACTTTTCCTTTTTCACTTTCCACATGATACTGAAAGGCTCATAAATATTACATCTCTCTCTATACACCTTTCCTATCCATGACAATTTATAATTCCATTTCTGGTTCAAGACTGCTACAGAATTACTGTTATTGAGTATGGATTATAAAATTGATATATTGAGAAATTATTTCTATGGTCAGGATATATGTAAATGGGGGTGGGGAAAAGAGAAAAAAAAATTACTCTGCTAAACTGCCTAAGTAATGCCAAAGAAATGCCTGGGCTAAAAACATTGAGAATAAATTTGGGACTGAAATAGTGCCCAAAGGAAAAAAAAAATCTGGGGGAGGACCCAAGATGGCCGACTAGGAACAGCTCAGGATTGCAGATCCCAGTGAAAGCGCAGAGGGTGAATGGACACCACATTTCCAGACGGATTTTTATTGCCCACAGACCAGAAGATTCCCAGGTGGAGGGGCCCAATGGGTCACCAGCACAGCTGTTTTGGCCAGGGCAGCTGTTTCGGCTGGCGTGGCTACTTTGCCTTGCCCTGGTGCGACGGTTCTCCGTACAAAATACACTGGTCCGGGTGCCCTTTTAGCTGGCAATTGGAGAGCCAGGAAGGCGGATCGCCCATTCATCTGATTTAAAAAGGAACTGAAACATGGAGCCAGGTCAGAAGATTCCGGAGCAAAAAAACCGCCACGAATCTCAGCACCGCTGTTTCAGCCTGCGCAGTGAGTCACCGCAAGGGAAATCACACAGATCCCGGCGCCTAAAACAGGCGACTGGTGCACCTGGGAGAGAGTCGACCGTTCAACAACAAAAAAAAAAAGACTCTGAGTCAGGGAGTGAGGTGATCAGGCTCGGCTGGACCCACCCCCACAAAAACAAAACAAAACAAA